CACCTGGGGACATCATCCGCCTCACCAAGGGGTACCTGGGGACATGGGGACACCTGGGGACACCTGGGGACATGGGGGGATGTGGGGACAGCTGGGGACACCTGGTGAGGGCACCTGGGGACATGGGGGGACAGAAACACACCTGGGGACACCTGGGGGGACAGAAACACACCTGGGGGGGACATGGGGGGACATGGGGACAGCTGGTGAGGGCACCTGGGACACCTGGGGGGACATGGACACACCTGGGGGGGATCTGGGGACACCTGGGGACAGCTGTGCCCTCACCTGTCCCTGTGCCAGCCCCACCCCCCGTGTCCCCTGGGTGTCCCCTCAGTGACCCGTGGCCGCCTGGCACGGGGCTGGCACATCCCGTGACTGGCACCGTGTCCCCGTGTGCCCCACGCTGTCCCTGTCCCTGTCCCTGTCCCTGTCCCTGTCCCCTGTCCCCTGTTCCTGTCCCCTGTCCCTGTCCCTGTCCCTGTCCCTGTCCCCTGTCCCCTCCCTGTCCCTGTCCCCTCCCTGTCCCCTCTGTGTCCCCTCCTGTCCCTGTCGCGGGCTCGGGGCCAGTCCCGAGTTGGCTCCGTGGCCAACGGCGGGGGGGGGACATTGGGGACAGTGGGGACAGTGGGGACATTGGGGGGACATTGGGGGACACTGGGGACATTGGGGACATTGGGGGGACACCGGGGGGTGACGTCGCTGTGCCAGCCCAACATTGTCCCTGCGCCATCCTGGTGCCACCCCCTGCGTGTCCCCAACCCTGTCCTGGTGCCAGCCCCGTGACACCCCGGTGTCACCTCCCCCTGTGCCGGTGTCACCTCCCCCTGTCCCAGTTCTGTCCTGGCACTGTCCCAGTGCCACCCTGATGCCATCCCAGTGTCCCACCAGTGCCACCCCAGTCCTGTCCCCTCCTGTCCCGGTGCCACCCCAGTGCCCCCCCAGCACCCCCAGGTGTCCCTGGGTGCCACCCTGATGCCATCCCAGTGTCACCCCAGTGCCCCCGGCTGTCCCTGAGGTGTCCCTGAGGTGTCCCCACATGTCCCCAGCTGTCCCCTCTCTGTCCCCACGTGTCCCCTCAGTGTCCCCTTGTTGTCCCTGTGCTGTCCCTGCGGTGTCCCCTCAGTGTCCCCAGGTGTCCCCAGGTGTGTCCCCGGTGTCCCCTCAGTGTCCCTGCGCTGTCCCCAGGTGCTCCCATGTGTCCCCAGCTGTCCCCCGTGTCCCCTCAGTGTCCCCAGCTGTCCCCAGGTGTGTCCCCAGCTGTCCCTGTGCTGTCCCTGTGGTGTCCCCAGGTGTGTCCCCTGTGTCCCCGGTGTCCCCAGGTGTCCCCAGGTGTGTCCCCGGTGTCCCCAGGTGTGTCCCCTCAGTGTCCCCGGTGTCCCCACAGGAGGTGGCCATGCCCGAGGTTCTCTATGAGGAGGTGATCGAGGTGGACGAGCGGCTGATCCCGGAGCAGGAGGGGTGTCACCTGCCGGGGAGTGACACCTGGCCACGGGTGACAGGTGAGTCACCTGTGTCACCTGTGTCACCTGTGTCACCTGTGTCACCTGCCGGGGAGTGACACCTGGCCACGGGTGACAGGTGAGTCACCTGTGTCACCTGTGTCACCTGTGTCACCTGTGTCACCTGCCGGGGAGTGACACCTGGCCACGGGTGACAGGTGAGTCACCTGTGTCACCTGTGTCACCTGTGTCACCTGTGTCACCTGCCGGGGAGTGACACCTGGCCACGGGTGACAGGTGAGTCACCTGTGTCACCTGTGTCACCTGTGTCACCTGTGTCACCTGCCGGGGAGTGACACCTGGCCACGGGTGACAGGTGAGTCACCTGTGTCACCTGTGTCACCTGTGTCACCTGTGTCACCTGCCAGGGAGTGACACCTGGCCACGGGTGACAGGTGAGACATTATCATTGTCACCTGTGTCACCTGTGTCACTGTCATTATCACCTGTGTCACCTGCCCAGGAGTGACACCTGGCCACGGGTGACAGGGGGGAGGTGACACTCGTGTCCCCCCCAGGCTGTTCTGGGGTGACCCTGCTGCTGCAGAGGGAGGTTTGGGGGTCACAGGGGGGGTTTGGGGGTCTCAGGGGTGTCACAGGGGTGTCACAGGGGTGTCACAGGGGGAGGTGACACTCATGTCCCCCCAGGCTGTTCCGGGGTGACCCTGCTGCTGCAGAGGGAGGTTTGGGGGTGTCACAGGGGTGTCACAGGGGTGTCACAGGGGGAGGTGACACTGTCCCTGTCCCCCCAGGCTGTTCCGGGGTGACCCTGCTGCTGCAGGGGCCGCTGGACCTGGAGCGGCTCCGCTCGGACCTGCAGGGGGTCCTGGCCCGGGGGATCCGGAGCCTGGCGGTGCTGCTGCTGCACAGCTACGCGTGAGAATGGGGGGTCCCGGGGGGGTCTGGGGGGGG